CTGTAAGCAGGTAAACAAGCAGCCGTACCATTTTGGTCTTTCTTCCATTCTAAATTGCCAGCGGTCCAAAATAGTCACACCTAACTATCTTGAAGCGATGCCAGCCTGGCTGTATCCTGTCAATCGACAGTGGCGCCACAGCTTGTCGTGAAGCCGTTGTAAGGTTCCTTCGACACATCCAGCAACTGTGGAGCACCCGCTCAGTCATCGATACTCCTTGATTGACCCAATACCTTTGGTGCATTTTCGGATAACGTATGCGATAGTCCACAGTGCATATTCGGCACGCGAGCATTCCAGACTATCAGCCTGGTGACGTTATGCTTCGGGGGTAGTATGATAGGATATTCAGCAAAATGCGGCCATAAGAGTTTATTCAACCTACCTCATATACATAACAAGCCGTCTGTCAATATCGGGCATAAGCGTATTAGTTTGTGGTTGCGTACACTTCGTTTGTCAACCTTACCGGCGCGTTCTAATTCCAGCATAATTTCTGGGTATAACGTCTTCTGGACCATGCAAATAATATCACGCTCAGCTTGCATCGCTTCTGCGGGATTCAATCTCCCAGTGTTCCGTGAGGATTTAGTTGAGCCGCTAGCTATCGTTATCAGGTGTTTTAAACCTTATCAACCATACCACAGATCGTAGAAGTTTTGACTAACCGGAACACCTCTCCAATAAAAGATGCAACCCAGTTGGTTCCGAAGCAGTGGCCACGTTTACCAAAGCGTGTTTCGTTTTCAATTCTATTCTTTCGGGAATGAAATTCGGTTCGTAGCGCGATGACTGGGCCTCGGACGCTTTCAGAAAGGACGGCTTCTTGAACCAAGAGAAAACAGCAGTCAGAGAAATCACTCCTCTGGAGGCTAAGTCTGCTGGATTGTCCTCACTCATTACGTGACGCCAATCACCGGGTGACGATAACTGATAAATCGTAGAGATTTTGCTTGCCACGAAGGTACTATAGTGAGTGGCAGTATTCCGATGCAGCGGAAAACGCGTATAGAAAAGCTCCCTTCTACTCAGTGCCGAGTACTACGCAATGTGGTCAACGATTCCGCATTTGGCAAAATTGTCCGGGATCTCAGCCTTCCGATCCGAGTCCATGGAGCATGCGTAAACACCAAGGAGGAGCTGGTGGTTGCTTGGGGTGAAAGTCTGCACAACAGCGCTGACGGTCGCGGTTTACGATAGTTGGTCACTTCGCCTCTCTCGAATCGATGGCTCGTATTCCCAGAACGAGTGTTTCCACGGATATTTATCCGGGGTATCCAGCTCCGATGCAACCTGCTTAGGACGAGGGTTAGAAGCGCTCGGCATGGTCATGGTGGCCAGACGATCTTATGTCGTGGAAACTGTGGCCAACCGGAGAGTTTGGTGCATATTTTGCAATCC